CACTAATGAGAGCTTTGCAGGACATAACATTCTGGGCTGGCAGTTTTTTTCTTAGAACCTGGGCTGTATCTCGCCATTCCCTCTAAACCCTACAGGCTAGGAGGCCCAGGCTTTTCTGTCCTTAAAAGCACAGTTACCAGGGATGTCATTGCTTTTAGTGAATTCCTCAATGTGAACTGAAGACGAGTATAGCATTTTTCCTAGATCCTACTCTTAAACCACAAAGTATTCCCTTTCCCAGTATGTCTGCCACAGTCCAGCATTGACTAGAGAACAATATGCTGTCAATCAGTGTTGACACTTGGTTCATAAGCTTGAAAATTGCATTTCATTGGCTCATACGTCTTAGGATCCACAGCAGAGGACCAGAGTGGATGGAAGTCAGCATCACTTGTTGGAAGGGAACAATTATGAAGACAAAGGTAAAGTAAAACTAGCATCAAAATACCTGTGTCCTAGGCCAGGACCTTAAAAGTTGTTCACGTGCCATCTCTAGTAAGTTACTTAATTCCTGTGAGCTTCCTTTCCTTCACTGGTAATCAGTCACTTATGCATCTTGCCATCTCATGACTTAATAATGACCTTTTAAGGACAAATTGTTTCTGAAACTTTAAAAAAAGATTTACCTATTTGAAAGCCTTAGAGAAGGAGAGGGAAACAGAAAGGTGAGGGAGGAGAGAGGGGAAGGTCTTTCATCCACTGGCTCACTCCCCCAGATAGCTGCAACAGCCAGGGCTGAGCCAGGCTGAAACCAGGAGCTTCTTCTGGGTCTTCCACGTGGGTGCCTTAGCCATCCTCTGCTGCTTTCCCAGGCCTTTAGCAGGGAGCTGGATTGGAAGTGGAGCATCCAGGATCTGAACTGGTGCCCTTTGGGATGCCAGCATCCCAAGTAGTGGCTCTCTGCTATGTCACAATACAGGCCCCTGAAAAAAAATTTTTATAGTTTTTTTGATGTTATGTATGAACTGCATGACAAATACAGCATGTATGATCTAAAGGATGATCATATTTTCTGGAAAGAAAGATTTTAAATATTTTTTGTGAGCATAGTTTAACCATTGTATTGAACTTACTACTTAGTTCATTTTTCAGATTACTGAAAATATCAATGGTATGTTTATATACGTATACATTTCAAAGATGACTGAGAAGCTGTCAGTCTGCAGAGAGGCGAGTTTTACATCTAATTTTGCTATACATTGAGATTATTTCTTCCTCCTTTGATCATTTGATATGAAGATCAAGTTTGTCTATCATTAAACTGTTATTACAGTTGCAGAATCTCCTTGGATTTTTTTTTTTTCAAGATTTATTTGAAAGTCAGTTACACAGAGAGAGAAAGTGGCAGAGCGAGGTCTTCCATCCCATGGTTCACTCCCCAATTGGCCGCAATGGCTGGATCTGCACCAATCTGAAGCCAGGAGCTTCTTCTGAGTCTCCCACATGGGTGCAGGGCCCCAAGGACATGGGCCATCTTCCACTGATTTCCAAGGCCACAGCAGAGAGCTGGATCAGAAGTGGAGCAGCTGGGTCTTTAACCAGCACCCATATGGGATGCTGGCGCTTCAGGCCAGGGCATTAACCCGCTGTACCACAACGCCGGCCCAATTTTGTTATTTCTTAATTTGATACAAATCCTGATGGGGATCAAGCAGGTTTCTCTCCCTCTCCCCTCAGTAGTTCAAATGGGGATATGCACTCTGCACATTCACTTGTTAATGAAAACCAAGACAGAAACCAGAAGTTGAACTGCCTCACCATTACCACCAACATGGAAAACAATGCAAGAACAGTAACAACATACTGCCCTATTTCTTGCCAGCAGCTTCCTAATAGAGGTATTCATATTCATTTTTCACATTTATAGGGCTTTCCAACTACATATGGAATTTAATGACTGTGGAAATCACTTACCATTAATATCATGGAATGCTAACATCATGAACTATGTGAAACTGCCAATATTTAGGACTGCAATGGTAGGATTTGCCTATTTATGATATATCTGGATTTTATAAATTGTTTTCGGCAATTTGTATTTTTATAAAAACAACATATAGTGTTGTTCAACTTCTGCCCTTGTCATTCCAGGCTGTTTTCCCATTGCCACAGAAATTCGGCAGTTTCTGAGAAAGAAATTCACACAACTGCTAGAACCAGGGAGGAGGGAGCTGTGTGGGAGAGACTAATGAGGGCAGGGGGTTAGGATATCACTGTGGCAGGACAGTTGATTTTGCTTCTACATAGGAGAAAGGCACCATTCACACACCAGACTGAGTAAGAAGCACCCAAGAAATGAGGGCAAAGCAGCAGACCCAGGAACTGGCATTAAGAGGAAAATTCCGTATGTCAGATAACTATTTTTTGGTCCTCTATTTAAAAATGTCTTTTCTAAGTCCATTAGACTTACAGAAATTTCCTAAAAAGGAATTGCTTTCCAGTTTCTGCAATTCATTTTCAAAGACAGAAAAAGAATATTTGCTCCATAAAATTGTATTAGTTGGCATCCGCTAGTGCCAACTCTGGTCTTCAGCTATCCCAGTCATCTTCTGTGGATTTTCCAATTTTATTTTAGGAGAATTCCAGAATATGTTTGGAGAAAACATGATCAAACATGTCTCTCACAAACGTTCTTTCACGTGATGGTAAACAGCATGCTTGAAACAGTTAGGGGAGTGTAAGCAGGTTTCTAGAAGTGCCACTACGTGTAGACACACAGACTAGTCAGAGGAAAATCTGACCCATAACAATTGACTGTACTGCAGAGCGTGGCTTGGTGTGAGGCTCATAGACATGGGTGTAGAACACTTCCCTTATTTATCAGAAAGTTATCAGGGAAATTGGATTAAAAATGAACTTGGAGAAACAATTGACCTGATAAATTGTCTTCTTTTGAAAGCCTTGACCAAAAAGGCTTTCATTTTTTCCATGGAGAAAGTTCATGCAACCTTGTGTTGAGGGCCTGCGAGACACTCGGCAAGGCAAGGCTGCTTTAATTCTGTTCCGATTTTGTTCAAGTGCATTTGTCTTCTGTACGCTTTGGCAACCAGGAATTTGTCAATGTCAAGGAAAATACTCAGGATGCGGAATCTATGCAATATGACTTTGTTTAGATCGGGGTGCAGATAACCTAACAGCAGATTTCAGAGCTTGTCAAAGACACCTTGTTTGAGACTGGAAGATTTAAGGCATTTTCTACAATAGAAAAGAATTTTAAGGATTACAGGTACATAATGATGAACATTTATATAATACTACACATAGCTCCTTTACTATTTTCACAGCAAACAGTTGATGTTATTCCAGTGTGTGTATTATTATCCCTGTGTCCTCACAAAGAAAAAAGCCTGAGGTTCAGGGAGAGGAAATGGGTGTTTGAAGATTATACAGGTTGTAATTAATGAGTTCAAGCCCAGTAGACAGTAGTATGGTATATTGTGAATCAGAATTCCTAGCTTTCCTTCCCAGTGTAGGAATTCCAAGGAGCTGGGTGCATACACATTTGCTCTCAGGAAATAAAAAGTATCCTATGGATCTTAGAAGGCTGGACTTGCTTTCAGAACCCAAAAATGGAATGAGCTAGACATGCATGGTTCTGTTCGGATGAATCCTAAGGCCTCTGGCAATGATATTGACTGTGAGGTTACAAAGCTTACTGTTATTTAAAAATTGAATGCTTTGTGATATGTTTTGTGCCACAAATATATTATGTTGGTAGACAAATAGTGTAGTTCACCTTACTCTAAATTGACAGGGAATGCTTAGGAGGTCATTTAGCTTAGTGGTTAAGATGTCCGTGTCCCACACTGGTGTACCTACGTTCAATTCCTAGCTCCGGCTCCTGACTCCAGTTTCCTGATAATGCAGACCATGTGAGACAAAGATGAGGACTCGTAATTGTTTGCAGCCACCCTTGGGCGAGGCCCAGACAGGTTTGCATCCTGCGTTCATCCTGGTCCAGTTCTAGGTAGCCATCGTGGACATTTGGGGAGTGAACCAATACATGAGAAAGCTCTGTTTCAGTGAGTACTCATTAAATTTAAGGATGAGGATGTCAAATAGGTATTTTTTGAGACATGTCAGTTACTTGTTTTCACTTAATCCATTTTAAAACTGAAAGTGATTATATTAAGGAAGTCTCTGGTTTGCTAACTAGCAACGCCCTTGTAGATATGAATTTAAAACTGCCATAGCCCATTTTGTGTTGTCTGAGGAAACACTGTAGTTGTGCAACTCATGTTCTTTCCAAAAAATGATCTAACTGAATGTCAGGATGGTCCCCTTGTTGACAGAGGACAAATCAGGCTGTTTTGTGCATAGCACAGTTCAGTTACATGGGATGACCTTGTTCCAGTGCAAAACAAAGGACTGAAATACTCCCCAGGTAGAACTGAAGTGTCCACCTGTGACTCAAGTATGAAATATATGGCTAATTTCAAGTAAGTCACCAGCTATATTTATATTTTCAAGTGCCTTCAGCAATGAAGGTCATTACACTAAGGACCCACTGGGTCACAAAATGGAGTGTAGGATACAGAGTTCTTCTATGACAATACATGTGATTTAGCTTGCTGCAACTTAACAAAGACAAATCTTAATTGAGATGAAAATACCAAGTTGCCTAAATATTGAACACATGTATGAGAATATATTAAATCAATGACTAATGCATGCTTTGGAAATCTTGATCAATGCTTAAAATGTTTCTTCAATTACAGCCTGCAAAAGATGTAACCTATAAATACAACTGTTGGAACTGGCTTTGTTTTTTTTTTTTTTTTTGCTGCTATGAATAAGACATATTTGATGTGCTGCTAATCATCTCCTTTGCCAAATACCTTAGCTTGATGAACCATATCCAGATTTCGAGTGGTGGGCAGCAGAGTAGACTGCTCTCCTCACTGCTGAGGGAGGAAGGGATGCATGAATGCCAATACCCCCATCTCTCCATCTTCACTTCTTCCTTTCTATAACCACTTATTGTCTCCTTCCAGGGTGTAGGTAACTTACGGGCCCTGAGGATAAAGTGGTGAGGAAGTATCCACAAGTGTGCATCCCTGGAACATCAAGACCTGGAAGATAGGAAGCTGGCAGTTACAACTCACTGTAACAGATTCCCTGGTGAGGAAGCCAAGGGGTGACATGGTGGGTGAAGCTTATTGGATGGAATTACATCTAAGCAAAGGGGTATTTTAGGAGTTTTGCATTTTATGCAGAATTAAGATGCCACTGAAGTCTCACCCCCCCTTTGAATTTCCTTGTCATTATGTCCCCCCACATGTCTTGGACTGAAGCCAACCTTCAAAATAGCTCTCGTTCCCTTATACTGCTTCTCATGCCTCTGTGGCATTTCTCTCACTCAGTCTTCTCTCATAGTCTGCAGTTCTCATGGATTCCTCCAGTGGGAAAGCAAGGGTTGATGGTCACTTTGGGCTTAGTCCCTCACTTCTAGACTCTGCTCCCTGTAAAATCCCACCGTGTACCACTGTGTCACACACAGAAGCTTCTGATGGAGCTAAAATGATGTGTGGCCTTGTTCATTTATTCACTCAAGGGCCTGATGATCTGTTATGCTCAAGGAAAAGTGAATAAAGATGAACATACAGGAGGAGGAAGCACATCCAAGAGACGATCAAACTTCCCAAATGGGTTCAATGAAAAATTGGCTGATAACATCTCACCATCTGTTCAACATGTATTTACAGAATACCTACTGTGTGCCAGTCCCCATCGTGATAGAGCTTACTCCATTTGAGATATATGGACAAGTGAGTAAGTGAGAGAATAGTGAGAAGGAGCCAACCTTGGGTTTTCTTTTCTTTTTTTTAAGACTATTCGAAAGTCAGCTAGAGAGAGGAGAGGCAGAGAGAGAGGTCTTCCATCCTCTGGTTCACTCTCCAATTGGCTGCAAGGGCCGGAGATGGGCCAATCCAGAGCCAGGAGCCCAAGGACTTAGGCCATCTTCTACTGCTTTCCCAGGCCCTAGCAGAGAGCTGGATTGGAAGTAGAGCAGCCGAAACTCAAAGTGGAACCCATATGGGATGCTGGCACTGCAGATGGCACCTCTACCTGCTATACCACAGCACTGGCCCCCACCTCTTTTTCCTACTCCTGTCTTGCTTACCAGTTGCTTTTACCTACTCAGTAACAGCAAATGTTGTTTTTCAAAGTCTCAAGCAAATATCTTTTATAAATTTCTTCATCTACAATCTACTCTCCCTTAGTTCAACATTAATGCTAAACATTTCCTTTAAAAGTCCTTTAGTAAAGAAGCAAAAGTATTTATGAATTATAACTGAAACTTATTTTTCCAGCCAAAATTAGTGTATTAACACTAAAGTCTTTTCTACGTGTATATTTTTAGTGGGATAAGAATAGGAGGCTAATTAAAACAACACTGTGGTCTTCGAGGGTCACAATTCTAGCACTGAGTTCTAACACCTTAACAACCCTGCTGCAAAGTTGCTATTTGATCCCAATCAAGTTGTGGGAATTTTTCAATTTCTCACTTGCAAAATAGTACAGCAAAGGATTTCTAATGAAACACGAAGGTATTGCAGCACATCAAAAGGAGGAAAATTACTTACAATTATATTTTAGGACTTTCTATTGAAAATTAAGAAGTGGAACTGGGGGAAAAGTATTTTCTATAGTTTTTACATTTGTTGAGTTCTTCATATGGCAATGATACAATGAAAGTTATTTTATTCAACTTTAGATAGAGAATGTTCATGTTTTCTTAAGAATTTTTTTGTTATTGAAATGAAATAATTCTCCGCACATCCATTTACTTTTTATTTTGTCTTGTAGGGCTTGTTCCACTTTGATGGTCTCCTGTATTCTATTTGAGTGGTTCTAGAAAAGTGTAAGTCCTGTTGTATGGCTTTTGGAGTCTATCCAGCTAAAAATCACCATTTATATCATTCTAAAGCAAAGTAGTAATTATTAATACATTTGTGATGCTAGAATACTGACAGCCATTTGTCTTTAAAAACCTTTTGTACATTAAAGACTACTCTAATATTTGTCACAGTTCTTGTTGGAAACATGTTCAGTTTAAGAATAAAGAGCCCATTGAAAATGTTTACACAAACTGTCTTTTAAATGCAGTGATCTTGTGGATGTATTTGGGAACCTTATTAAGTAAGGGCACAGCTTAATAGTTACTTTTATTTGGTTTCAATTACTTTGAACACATAATTCCACCATGGAATGCATTTCATTCGCTGTGAGATAGGAAATACAAAGTAAAGCAATACAATACAAAACAAAAACACAAAAAACAAAACACTTGTTTTTATAAGGCAGCAGGGGCTTAGTAGTGATGGCCTTGGTCCTAGCACTGAGTTCAGAGAGAAATGTGGATCCCCTCACTTCAACACACAATGCCCTTCAGAGTGAATGGCTATCTGGTAAAGGGGTTTTTATTTAATATTGACTCTAAGTGTCCATACGGCTGTGAAATCATAAGTGTCACCTTGTATTTATATGTGGTACTGTCCTTTCTAAGAGCAATTGCATTCATTTGATGTTTCATTTCCAATATGTATTGTGATCTCACAGTAAGTGGCACACCAGGAAAAACCGGCACAGTGACTGCATTGAGCAATCTGATCTGGTGGGCACCATAGATGTGTAAGTGGACACACATGAAATCCCCTGTGATAGTCTGGTAAGTAGCTCTAAAGAGGAGAGGACAGAGGAGGCGGCCACTGTTTTTGCTACCTTACTGGAGCCTTTTGTACTCCTTTGAGATAAGCAAGGAGGGCGTCACTCTTTGCATCTGATGCAGGAGGAACAACTTTTTGGTGGGTGATGTGCCCTGCCCAAGGTTGGCATAGATGAAGACTTCTGACCCCTCAGCTAATGCTCTGTAGCCCAGATCCAACTCTCAGCTTGGCCTTCTGTCCTCAGAGTTCTCCCCGGTCTTGATGGATGCTCAGTTGGAGCTAAGATGATGTTCACTGAAAAAGTTGTCCTGTGATGAGCTTCCTTGGGTGCGCATTCACATCACATTTCAGGGGGTACATTTCAGGCAGTCTCTAAATAAGGCATCCTTGGGTTTTTGCATTTTCATTAAAAAAGGACTATGGTTTTCTATACAGATATGTAAAAGATTTTTATTCATATTTAAATATTTGAATAATTTGTTTTTATGGTTAAAAGCAAATGTGAGGCAAGCGACTTTTCAGCCAGAAACAGAACAATAAAAATTCTGGTTCAATCAAATCGTGGTTGGATTCAGTAAAGAAGCAAACCCACTGGCACGTCTAGTTTCTAATTTTCTAGAGGAGGAGTGCAGGGATATTTTAATCATTTTGTAATGTTTTTCATCGTTCTTGTTGCCTCAAAAGTTGGAAGTGTGAATATTCTCATTTAGTATTCTTACAAGAGCAGTGTGGCTTGGATTTCCGTTCCCTGAAACACTGGGACGAACATGAATGACCTTAAACTTCACAATGACAACGATTGTATGGTCTGTGTTGGAAACCTGCTGGGCACTGGCAGCCCATACAATCTGATCAAGACCACAGATCTCTAAGCTGCCCTCGGACCAACTTTGAGAGTGAAAAGGAAGCTAACTGTTTTAATCTTTTCTGTATTGATTATTTTGCAAGTTAATGGACTCAGACATGTTATATACATTAGGTGCTGAGCCACTGGGATAATGCTGTTGGACCTGTTGCAAGCAGTGATATAATTAAGGATTTGTTAATGGTTGTATAATAAACCTCTATTATCAAGGACTTTTAACTAAGTATTAAAAATTCATTCTCAGCTGTAACTTGCCATTCATGGGCTCAGTTAGGAAGCAATTTTCTTTTACAAATTTTCTATTAAAGAATGAATGAAAAAGTTTCCCTGTACATAGCATTGTAACTGATTTTCCCTTTAATGAAAAGTTTTAGGCATGAGTCATTTCTGAAATGGAAAATTCCTGAAATGTGAGAAGTATAAGAGCAAGCAGTTCTTTTCTACATCTAATATCTTTATGTCAGGTAGAGAGCTCCTTTTAGGGTATTTGTTTAATGGTCCACTAGGTCATGAAAACAAAGGAGGAGATCTGCGTGTATAAAGATGCCAATATAGACATTTTTAAAAGCCTATTTGCATTTTTAATAAAAAGTAACCCATGCTTCCTTGAAGAGGTCAAGACACAAATGCGTGTAAGAAAAGGAATATTGTGTTTTTAGAGTTGTCCCTACAAATCACATTCAATCGTTAAATTAAAGCCACCCCTTTTTTATTTAATCCTACTTTTCTGATATCTACTTTTATTGTATATTCCTCTCTACATTTCCATTTATACAAATGTATACATCTCTACCCAGCACATTTTAGAAAGTCAAATATGAATGTAATTCTTCTAAATCCCTCCTAGTAGTTGATTGAGAATTTGTCTGCCAAGAAGTATTCATCCTTATTAAAAAAAAAAAAAAACCTTCCTTTGATAAATCACTGAAATTTATATAAGTCAAGCTTATACTTAAGTAACCCAAATAATCAAAATAATCATCTGTGCTCTTGAATTATGGACCCTCAAATCCTTTCCCTGAAACTCATTCACACTCTTATCCCCTTCTCCATGTCCTGCCTCCCTTAGGGCAGTACTTGCTCTAAGAGGGGTGCACAGTGTCCCACCAGCAATGACCAGAGTCTGGATACTCCTTTATCCTGCAGAGAAAACCAGCTGGGACTCGCTAGCTCTACTGTCGTGACTTCAGTGGTTTCTGCTGAAAGCCCGAAGTCAAAAATAACAGTTGCTGGGGCTGACGTTGTGGCTCAGCTGATAAGGCCACTGCCTGCCATGTGGCTTCAGACAACACATTTATAATCTCATAGTTTCTGTGGCTCGCAATCTGGACGCTACATGGCCAGTCCTTTGCTTTGGGTCCCACAAGGCTGCAGTCAACATGCTGGCCAGGGTAGTATCTTCATTCGGGGGGAGACAGCCTCTTCCCATCTCCCTGCTGCTTGATAGAGTTATAGCTCCCACAGGTTTTAACACCCAGGCTTTCAGCTCTCGAAGGTCTCAGTCCCATTGCCCTCTTGACTGTCATGTGTCCCTCTGTCCAGTTGCTGGGACGGGGTCTTATCTAACGCGACAAAATGTTGAGGATGAAATCACGTCACCTCTGTCATGTTCTATGGCTTAGAAGCAAGTGACAGTTTCTACGTGAAGTCTAGGGCAGAGGGTTTTACAAGACTATGTATCAGGGGTGTCACTTTGGCTGTATCAGCCTAATAGGTATTACAGTTTTTTCATTAAATGAACAAATGAGAATTATTTAGCTGGCATTTGGGAAGTCTTTACTTACAAATCCTTTACCTGTCTCACAGCTTACTAATTATATGGCCAGAAACTTTACATTGGGATATTCTTAATTTTTCACCAGAATGAATTTTGTAGGCCTTTGCCTTACAATGAAGAGGTCTGTAGTGCAATTTTACTTTTCTGATTTGAGCCCTTGTCTAGGAATGAATCACTTAATGTGCTTCTCAGTGATATCCTGATTCCTTAAAAGATAAATATTATTTGAAAGGCAGTGTGTGATAGAGAAAGAGGTCTTCTGTCTGCTGGTTCAATTCCTCGAGTGACCTCCACAGCAGGTGCCGAGTGTGGCCAGAGCCAGGAGCCCAGAACTCCGTGAGGGCAGCACTGGCCCCAGGCACTTGTGCCAGCGTTGGCTGCCTTCCCAACACATTAGCAGGGAGATGGATTGGAAGTTTAACAACTGGGATTCAAACAAGTGCTCCAAGAGGGGATACTGGAGGCAGCGGCTCAACCCACTGCACCACAACGCAAATTCTTAAAAAGAATGTTTAATGTATCTGTTCAGTGTTTACAGTCGTTTCCCCTGTGTTAGCCGCACTATTGAATGCGTTCTCCACTGAAGAGCATGGGTGGATTATGGACGAAGATGCCCAAAATAAAAAACTTCCAGGGTTAAAGGAGTTAAATAGATGGGGGTGCGGTGGGGGTGGGTAGAGAACTGGTAATACTCAGCGAAATCAAAAATGCACATCTCTGACTTGGCTTTACCAACACAGGTATTCCAGAGAAACCTTCACAGAAACGTTCATAAATCATCGTTTCATAGAGCAAAAACAACTCCAGTGTAACAGGATGAAGGATACAGTTTGCACTACTCATACGAGAGGATATCACACCACGGGGAAAATTGCAGGGCCTGCATCAATATGGAAGAAGTGCAGAAACATGGTCAGGCAGAAAAAAAAATGTTATAGAGACAGATCAATATGCAAAGAAAGTTTTTAGTTTAAACCCATGCCAAATACGGTAATATTCAGATATTAAGTGATTGAAAAGGACAAGGAAAAAAATGAATTGAAACCAAAAATTGGGGTGGGAGGATAGTTTGAGAAGGGAAGAGGGATAATTGTGCTTACAAACTATTAGTATGTTCTATGCTTAGGTGAGTGGTACATACACAAATGTTTGCTTTATTATATTTTGTGTACTTTGTGTGCCAGTTTTGATATATATTAAACTAATTTCACAATTAAAAGAAGATGCCAGCAAGTTATACAATTTGTAGGCCTTGGGTTTTAAAATCCAAATGGATTGAGGAGGCGGCACTCAGTGGCAGAAGCGAAGAGCTTCCCCGAGTAGAACCACCTCACAGGGTTAGAGTGCGTAGGATGAGGCCCCCACATACAATGCTGGCATCCCATAGAGTGCTGGTTCGAGTCCTGTCTGTACCATATCTGATCCAGCTTCTGGCTAGTGTGTGAGGGAAAGCAGCACAAGATAACCCAAGTGCTTGTGCCCCTGCTACCCACATGGGTGACCTGAATGGCATTCCAGGCTCTTGACTTTAGCCTGGCCTCTTCCTGACCATTGCAACCATTTGGAGAGTCAGTCAACGGATGGCAGATGGATCTCCCTGTCACACCCCCTGTCTAACTTTGTCTTTCAGATAAATTTAGATCTTTTAAAAAGTAATACGTAGGAAGGAATAGCCGCAAGAGAAAAGGCCAATGTGGGAAGGACAGGTCCAGGAAGCGCTGCACGTGGGTGAGGGGTCATCACGCACTACTGCACGGGAGAAGGCAGCTATGGTGGCAAGCACAGGATGCCAGGGTCTGTACCTGTCCTCACGTTGATGTATGCCAGGAACACTCTCCCCTGGGCCTTCCTGCAGTCTTGTCCCTGAACTTGTCTCTAGTGAACTGGGTACGTGGGACGATTTAGCCCAGACCATCTAACGATGGTGAGCAGTCAGCAGCCACAGTCAACATTCGGGTGTCAGATCGAAGTTTAAAATGTTTGCTTTTCTGTGTGTGTTGGGTAACTTCTACAAAGGTACTTGGCTCCTCTCCAAGGCTTAGTTTCTTCGTGAAGACAATCACACACTGATTTGTCAAATGTTGACGGAGCACCAAGTGTTTGCCAGGCACCGTGTTGGAAACAAGGGAGTTCCTGATAGATCAGCAAACTTCCCATTTTTAGTGACAAAATCTAATTCACATGGGCTTAAACACGTGAGGCATGCATTGGCTTTTATGGTGGAGAAAGTCTGTTGTGTGGGTAGTTCTAGATTTAGGTATAGGCTCAAACACTTACTAGAGTCCATTTCTTCAAACTTTTTCTTCTGAATTTACTTCCTTCTAAGCTCATCCTTTTAAGGTATCATTGTGCTCAAATCTTAATACTCAAAATGTCCCTTAGGATGTTGTTCATACAAGCCTTGGTGTCTATTCTCGCTCCTTTCTGGTCAAGGGAATGGGGTAGTTTGACCAGCATAAGCCTAGGTCACATGTACCATCCCTGCAGTTTGGTAAAAATTCTCATACATGTACTGAGAATGGTCAAGTTTTCCCTAAACATAATTGGGATACTATCTTGTAAAGGAGAGAGAAAAAAATCCTAGGGATCAAAAATAACAAAAGTCCCCCTCAAATATTGGCCAAAGCTTCCCCAGTTGCTGACCTCATTGAACATACAGTTCAGTGGGAAGATGGAAGCAGATAAAATAATCACAGAACTATACAATTAAAATTGAATAGACTGCAAGGAAGAGAAACATGATGCTATGAGTGTTAAAAACAAGGAAATTTGGTCTAGTCTAGACAGTTACAGAAGGCTTCCCCAGGGAAAGACTCTGTGAGCTGGGTTTTAGAGATCAGTGGAAGTCAACCAGGTGAACAGAGACAAGAACACTTCTGCTAATATGCTAAAGTGCTCCATGTCAGCAGAGAGTTCAGCAAATTTCAGAATCTGACCAGTTCTGCGTAGCATGGAGAGGCAAAGTGTTGCTGGTGCCAAGCTGAAACGACAGGTACGACTCAGACTTGTCACGGCCTCCTAGGATATTTTAGAGTTTGGCCTCTGCTATAAAGGCAATGAGAAAGCACTCGGGTTTAAACACAGAGAGGATTTACTCACTTTTGAATTTGGATAGGATTATTCTCTGGCCACTGCTGAAAAAGATTAGAGGAGTAAGTATGGCTCTACCCCTGACAATGCCATTACACTAGTTCGGAGCCACAGTTCTTCCCTGGAGGCGACTTTGCCCCACAAGGGCCGTCTGGCAATGTCTGGACCATTTCTGATGGTGACCATTCATGGGAAATGTTCCTGGCATCTTAGGGTGGTAGGGAGAGGTCATGAATGTTGCTAAGCATGCTATAATGTACAGATCAGCACCCTCAATAAAGAGTCACTTAATTCAGGATGTCAACCATGTCAAGGTTAAAAAAAAACACTGGCCCAGGGATTAGCTTCGGTAGATACACGCCTGTCCTCAGCATGCCATACTGGTGCCTTTTTGTGTCCCACTTGGTCCAATTCTGACGCAGCTCCCTTCTATCAGTCACATTTCTAGACGATGACACGTAAGCCATTTTCTGCAGAAAATCACCAAGTTGATACTCAAAGAGAACGTCTAAGGGCTGGCACTGTGACAGAGCAGATGTAAATCAGTGGAAGATAGCAGGAAAAGCCGCGGAAGACATCCCAAGTGTTTGGGGCTCCGCCACCCAGGTAGGAGACCTGGATGAAGTTCCTGGTTCTGGCCTGGCCCAGCTCTGGCTGCTGTGGCCCTCTGGGCGCATTTGAAACAGCAAATTGAAGATCTTACTCTCTCTCCCTCTGTCTATAGCTCTTTCAAATAAATAAACCTGAAAATATTGGCTCAAGTGAGGATGATCATGACTTGAAGCAGGCAGTGGTGGGGCAGATGGAGAGAAGGCAGCAGTGGGACGGGTATCATGAGGGTCTGTTGGAGGGAAGGACCTCATGGTAGATGTGGCAACAGAGTCACTGAGCTGGAGACGAGCAGAAGGAAAGCATGTTTGGATAGCTGCAGTCTCACTTTGAGGCAGCCTTGAGGTCTCCATACTGAGTTACCAAGTTACAGGTAGGTTTGGAGATAAGATGACAAGTGGTGGATGTAGAAGATTGTCTAAGACACTGTAGGTTTAAGAGAAAAGAACTTACAGGGTTGAGCCCTGAGGCGCTCCAAGATTCAATACCTCATAAAAGAGAATGGTTGAGAAAAGCATACACTGCAGGTTTCTGAGTGATATGAGGAAAATTACTGAACTCTAAGATGTGCTGGTGCTTTTGTGTAGAGATTACCAAGGTCATAAATGTTAAGTGTCTAGTAGAGTCATTACTACTACTAATCTTGTTCTTCTCTGTTTTTACAGTTGTCAGCGTATCTTTCTCTGGCTACCTTTAGGCTGCAGTTGGCTAGAACATAGGTAAGCCATGGCCATGAAGTTAGTTGTCTTGTTTTAAATCCAATTCTAAATCCATAGGTTCTGGCCCAAAGACCCAGGGTGGCTCCCATTGTTCCTGGTGAGTAAATCCATCTACATATAGCTTCTCGCATTGAAATTCCTCTATTGACCATTATTTGACAGCCTTGTGTCAGGTGGTGATGTTTCTTAGTACTCATTCTTTACCATTTCTGAACCCTATGGTCACCCTACACTGTGATTTTTACGGACTGTTCGGTAGATTTCTCTACTCAATAGTTGAGTAAGACATCCTTCTGTCACATTCCTAGAAGATGACATTTAAGTCATTCTCTCCACAAAACTACAGAGTTGAAACTCAAAGACGAAGTCCAGGGGCCTGCTCTGTGGCATAGCAGGTAAAGCCACCACTTGTGATGCCAGCATCCCATATGGGCACCAGATCAAATCCCAGCTGCTACACTTTCCATCCAGCTCCCTGCTAATACACCTGAGAAAGCATCAGATGTCCCAAGTGCTTGGACCCCTGTACCCACGTCAGAGATATGGAAGAAGTTCCGGGCTTCAGACGGGCTCTGCCCCGATCATTTGCAACCGTTTGAGGAGTGTACCAGTAGACAGAAGTGCGCTCTCTGTGACCCTGCCTTTCAAATAAATTTTTTTAAAGTCTACACTCTTTGCATGGTTTTTATCCCCCTACCTTTATTTCCTGGATTTGTATCCATAATTTTTTTTCTCAAATTCTAATTCATTTGAGAGATGACAGCATATCTTATTCATCTCAACATTCTTCCCAGAACTTAGCAAATAATCATTAAAAGAATAGAAAGCTATGCAGGAAATATGTAAGAGGATCCCGTAACACCATATAGAGCCAGAAATTCAGGTAATGTTCACCTCCCTCGCAAATACACACTCAGAAGGTGCACAGAGACACACAGGAGCTGACCAAAGAAGATCCCAGTGGTCAAAGCTGAAGAAACTTGTGGAACAACAAAACAGAATAATGGATTGTGATTCAAAGTATAAGATAATTACCTGCAAGTACACACAAAATAAATGATTCAATTAGTAGATCAGGGAGAAGTGACAATTGTCCCATTCTCTAGGGAAGAATCCCAGGTAATTTATGGAGGTAATCTGCCTTCAAGGAAATGAATAATCCTCTACTATTTTAATGTGGCTTATGTATACTGGTTTATTTCCCTGGAGTATTGCTTAGAAAGGGGGAAGATAATTATATACAGGAAGACCTTGACAAACCACCTTAGCCTGGAGATCAGAGATAAGTCAGGTAGAGATGATGCAATCAGAACATCTGACCTTTAGACAAATTCTGGTATGGGGCTTCCTACAACATATCTACCTGCAGTATTCCTGGAAACTTTCCATGTTATCAGAAATAAGAAACTAGTCAGTGCCAAGAGGAGCTTGCAGAGACACGATGACAACATGTAAAATGGTATCCAGGATGGAGGACTGGAGAAGAAATAGGGCATTAGGGGGGAAAAAAGCAGCGAGAGTGGTTACCTTTATCTGCAGGGCACACATTTTGGGAGGCCCCCCGAAATCAGCAGATAAACTTAAGTCTCTTATACAAAAAGCAATTCTGTTTGTATGAAGTCCATGCACATCCTCTGGTATACTTTATATCACCTCTAGATTACTTTTATTACCCATACTATGTGAATGCTATGCAAGTAATCATATACTGTATTGTTCAGAGAATGAGAACAAATGTCTATCCATTTTCAGCACACTTTTTTCAAATATTTTCCATCCTCGGTTGAAGTAGATTTGGTATTAATGGCTCTGGAAGTTAATTGATACAATTAATACACTGACACTGATATGTTAACACAAAAAGCATACCAATGTAAGATGTTAATGGTAAGACAAACTGGGTGCAGGAATATGGGAACACCCTACACCATCTTAAAGTTTTCTGCAAGTCTAAGGCTGTTCTAAAATCAGTCTCTTAAAATAATTAAAAGGCACAGTATCCAGGCATGAACAGGTCAGTGGACACACCCAAAGGAATATTTTGATTTTTATTTCATTTTTGTTAAAGTGAACTTTGCTTCTGTCATATTTTGTAGTTCTCCCTCAGCAATTAGTGAATGCATAAAAGCCCTTTAAAACTAGCTTAGTCTAGCACCCTTTAATGAAATTGTGTTTTTGAAAAAACAAAGACCTGAGTTTGCAGGCCACATGTGTTATTTATGTGCTGGGCGACAATTTGGGATCATACAACCTCTGACTCCATTTCGTCATCACCTATGATGGCAATGCTGCCTACATCACAAGATTGTTTTACAGAGAGCAGCTAGGACACTTCTCCTAGAGTTGGATTTTACAAATTATTAACTGTATTTAACCTCATTATTTTTCCAAACATTAGATGACACGAGAATAGTTTTACCAAATAGTGGCTCTCAAAGATGAACAGTAATGCATCAGTCATCCCAGGCTTAGGGGAAAGTTAAAACTAGCATATTGGGTAACACAGAAAAGCCCCAGCGGCTCAACTCCTTCTTTGCCTACTTAATACTCATTTTAATTTTAGATAGAAAAATCTAGACAAGGAAATTGTGTTGGGACAATCTGATGACATTTTATTGAAGTAATTCATGTAGCTACAGGACCCCAGCTGTCTTTCTCACCACCTTAGTTCCTCATTTTCCTTTCCCTGACTTTCAAGATGCCGAGTAGGTAAACATCTCCATCTCTACCATCCTTGGGGCAGCTCTGGAACTTCCAGCATTATTGATTTGAGCCAGGGCTTGGGACCGAAGTGACTATGTTTAAACATACTTGGATTAAACATTAATTTACATTGGTGGATTATGAACACTACCTGCTTTGGTGAGCTAAAAGTAAGGGCTTTTCTCACCCTATCAATGAGTGACTTAGACAAAACTCAACAGAACCTCTTCAAGTTCTAGCAGCTTGGGGAAATACTTGTGATACATTTTTGTCAGAAGTTTCTGGAACTATCTCACCCACATAGTGTGTATCAACCAAAACTTCTGTACCTATTCAGGACATGCCCCACCAGCAGGCTTCATTTAGAGAGATTTGTATGTTTAGTGTTGGTGGTAGATCCACAGAAACTTATGAGTCAGCCATCCGTAAGTTTAATTAGTATCTTGCTCATCTAGAGTAGATACAAATGGCAAAGATGGTTCAGTGATGGGCACTGGGGAGAGGCATTCTGGCAAGGGTCACAGTGTCTGTGCCCACAGTGACACCCCCTTCATCCTTCAGCAGGTTCCAGTTGGAGAATGGATGACTACGATAGTGACAAGTTGCAACAATAAGCTGAAAATAATCAAATTACATGCATCTTTTCCTTTCTGACTTTGCCGATGAGGACATATTGAAAGAGGGCTATCAAGACATTGCTTTTCACATACATTCATTAGTAATTCAAAGATTTAGTAGCTGATGGTGATGCTTGTGTAATTAGCAGGGAAAAAAATGGAAGAAATGCATGTTGCTATAGCAATATGTTCATCATGAATGATCTACAGCATAAACACCCAGATTAATTTGCAAGATGCCAGGTAGAAAGCTGCATGGCTGACTAGGCTACTCTCAGATGCCACAGTATTTGTTTTTATGAAGTATAAACATTAGAGTGGAGCTTTCAAGGCGGGTGTGCTTGTCACTGTCAATCACCCAGGGGTTGCATTCCCAAAGAGTTTTCAATTCACTATAAAATTTTTTTTTAGCAGATGAAGAGAAACATGCCCCCCACCCCGAGAATTAAATATATATACCAGTATGGGTGACATTTTGACACTGAAACAAGCTTAACAATTCCTCATTCATGGGCAGAGTGTTTCTGTTTTATCTTCACACTTGCTTTTAATACCAGAGGGATAGGGCTTTTAATGTGCAAGTGGATTAAAAAATATCAAAATTGGAAGCCCCGGTGTCAGGAAACCTCTCATGAAAGCACGTATGGATATGACCATAAGCCGGGTGGCATTTTAGGCCACCATAGTTTAGGTTATTACTAGAAACTTGAGGCAAAAAAAGGCATCCTTACCTCACTGGGCAGGGAAATGTGATCTGTGGGTATATATAGGTGTGTGTTTATGAGCATGTCTGAAAGCTGTAGCTGCCAACTGGGTGTTTGTTGCTGATGGTATTTTGAGGCCTGGAGCCAGACACATGGGATGGTACCAGGGATTCACATTCCTTGGCTTGGTCACTGGGATGGCTCTGTAGCCTTGGCGAAAAACACAGAGCAAGTTTGTGACCTGACTTTCTCATGCCACAGTCTGAGCAGACCAACATCAGAATTGGATAAGAGCTGGAAGGGGCTAGAGAGAAGTGGATAGGTTAAAAGAAAGGCTCAAGAATTTTAGAGATGGTGATGCTCACAATATCTCATTTTCATCTTTGACAGTCATGACTTGTGGACTAATGTTAGAGGCTGTATGAGGGGCCTTCCCAAGTTTGCGATGCACAGAATTTTGAAATCCATGCATCATTTTTTATAATGCATTTTCCATTAACTTTTGGAATATACTTGTATGTGACCCATGTGGATGGTGTACAGACGGGATTTACCAATTTACTCAGCATGTGAGAATAAAGCTGTGTGATGTAAAGGCATCGAATGTTATGCAAATATTTTCTCAGAAGACTCAAGTGGGGATGACAAACTCTAGGGGACACTAATGTGTGGTGTCCTGTGGGAGCGGAAGTCAAGTCACCATCTGCTATCCAACACCTGCTCTATGGCCAAATCATTGCTGTTGGACGGTACACAACTTGTCAGGCTCCCTGGCGCAGAATTCGCCATCGTGTGCCAGTGTCACCGAGGGTAGGATCTTCAAGGACATGAGGACCAGTCAGAGTTGTGGCTGTGTTTTTCCTCTCGTCTAGGGAAGTACTGGGTCTCTGGAAATAACTCCTGACATCTGCTTAAACCATGTCTGCTATGAGGTTGGCCAAGGGAATTCTGAAGTTTTAGGCCAGGCCTGGCATTCACCAGTACTACCCCTCTGGGATTGAGCCTGGAGGCTAGAGGTTGCCAAACCCAAATTGGACTCTGCACTGCTTAGGCTGGATTGACAGGCACTGTGTAGAGGAAATGAACAATAAACATTGTGTCCTTTGGGGTCCCACAAAGGAAAACAATAACTTGCATTAATTATGGTTCCAAGAAAGGATTGGTTGCTTCAGGCTACTGCCCAAAGAAAGGCAGTTACAGACAGTCAGCCCCGAAGGAGACGGGGAACTTTCTTCCCTTGCCCCACCCTGGTAGGGAGTCAGTTCTGGCCACCGGGGAAGTTGGCGCTAATCTAATCAGGATGTTTTTGCTTTAGCTTCTGGTGTGGCTTTTTGTCTGGATTGGGGAAGAAGAAAGGATGCTTGGAAATGCTACGTTTCCAAGTTGCTTGTACAAGTGTCCGTTTTCCCAGTCTGAATTCTGCATGAGTAAACTAGTTAAGGCATTTAGACTTTTTGCAATAGTACTTAAAGTACAATACGGTGGTCCTCAACCTCCAGCAATTTTTGTCCACATTTTTTGAGACATTTTCAATTGTCATGACTAAGTTCATAGTGTGCGCATGCCCCTGGTATCCAGTAGGAATGACCAGGATGTGGCTAATGTCCTACAATGCATAGGGAAGCCCTTTATAACAAAAGCTGATCTGGTCCAAAATATCAGTGGTGCCTTCGAGAAACCCTGGTGTAATGTAACAGTATGACAGCTTTCTAGTATTTATCTGGGTGCAGTAAGACACATCCAAAGATGTTCTATAGTTTTAAGTAATGATTTCATTGCTATCACTCAAGCTGTATCAGACCATGAACAAATGAGTTCTGGCAGAGACAACTAGAAGTATAATACCTTAGACTTTTCAGATCTGAGTGGATGGACAGGCATTGTGGTGCAGGTTAAACTGCTGCTTACGATGTTCATATCCTATATTGGAATGGCAATTTGAGTCCTGGCTACTCTGCTTCCCAGACACCTCTCTAGTAATGTGCCCAGGAAGCAATGGATGGTGGCCCTGGTACTTGGGCCCCTGCCTCCCTTGTGGGAGAGCTACATGGAGTTCCTGGATCCTGGCTTTAGAGTGGCCAAGCCACAGCTCTTGTAGCCATTTGGAGAGTGAAACAGCAGATGAAAGATCATGCATGCATGCTCTCTGCTTTTCAAACAAATCTCTTAAAAAAAATCTAGAGTGGAATGGAGGAAAATAGCTTTAGTGAAAAGATGGTATTTTTAATTTCTAGCCTACAATATGGGCAAATGAGCCTACTAAAAATTCAGAATGTTATAAATGCCCACTTGTCTGTGTATTACTTGGAAACCAGAATAATATTAAAAACCTTAGTGGGGTAGAACAGTATCTTAAGTTTAATACATACATATGTTATAAGCATTGTGTGTTACATAAAATGTTATTTGAACTTCATAACATGCCTATCAGACAGGAACCATTACCCTGTTTCATAGCTAAGAAACTCGGTGAGGCTGGAGTTGAACCTGGGTCTCATCCACTTGGTAGCCCGAGTGTTTCGTATCCCACTAAACTGCCTTTGACTCTGAACTACGCTTACTGTCATACAAACACTGCTGGGTAGATTTCTGGGTTGAGAAACACACAATCTCACGAGGCAGAAAAAGGCTAGGCAAGGAGCGTTCCCTCCTCTTGCTCTCTGACTTGCTTTTGTTTGCAATTTCGAAGTTGGCAAATGTCATCATCTTGTGCTGTAACTTCAGTTCTAATCCTATCCTCTCACACTCATGCCACAGTCCCAGAACCTAAACATCCTCCTCCCTGTTTCACTGTGGCGCCAGCAACTTGAGATTTCTCCTTCTCCTCTTGCTCCAATCATCTCTCCTTCCTGCTATAGTGTGACTGGATTTTAACAATTTTTTAAACTTTTAGTTTTTAACACTCGATGTGCTTTGTCGAGACAATTCTAAGAATATAATGTTATTCCCCTCCCTTTCCTCCTTCCCCCTCCCTCCCACCTTCCTTCCCCCACCGTTTAATGTTTGAAATAACATTTTACATTTACATTACAGGAAAAAGGCTTAATACCTCACAGACTAAGAGGCTTAACAAGTAAAAAAGCAAAACTACCCTACTTTCGTGAGAATATAGACAATGGCTATAAGTAATCATTGAATCGAAAAATGAGCACTTCATCTATCCACAGTACATTTTAAAGTGATCATGGATCATTCAACCTGCAGTAGAAGAACATTCTCAACCATTGGTTTCACTAAGGTATAAAACAAAGTTTTACAAGACTGGGTTGGCGGCAATGACAGTGTGACTGGATTCAACGGATCATCATGTTCACTGCCTCAAAAATGCTTGTATTTCTGTGGAGGTTGATGATATTTAGTCATTCAGAAAGATTTGCAGGAAAACCCATGGTTTGAGGGAGCCTTGCAGAGGCCCGCCCTAGGCACCTCGACAGCGTTCTAGACATCTACACAGCAGAGCTGTATGCTTTTTCATAAGGCCATGGGATTCTCAGGACTTTTGTTTTGCACTCTAAGAATTGAGATGGGAAGCAATATGGATGATTTAGCTAAAGACACTAATAACAAACACAGATCTACAAGTACCTTAAAATGTCCAGAAGAATCTCCAGCAAAATGAAAGTCTAGAAGTGTTTTGGAGCATGTATGACTTACAGTTCCACGTGTACCAGCAACTTTGGGGGTGTTGGTATTGGTGCCTGCTTCATCAGCTCCTCGTACAATAAATGACTGGTTTGCTCTGCCATCATCAATCCTTCCACAGCCGTGTCAGACAACAGCATGCCTCACTGTTGCTCTAAAGTCAGGAGCGACTCCTGTTTTTGACTTGTGGTAAGTGCTGAAGTCTGGGTAAGCAGCCCACGAGGCCCTAACTCATCTCTGCACACTCCTCAGCCCCTGTGCACCTGCTGATCTTTGCCCCACCTTCATCCTACTCCATGCCAGCCTTGGTGTCCTCCTTTGCCCTGGGATGCATTAGGCATTTTCTGCCTCAGACATTTGCACATGCTCTTCCTTCTGTGTAAACTATTTTCCTAGATCCGCATGTGTTCAATGCACTCAACGTGCTTCTGAGGTTTATAGAAGCATCAACTTCTCCAGTCTACTTAGCATAAAAAACTGAAGGTGGTCAGGCTATCTGTTGAATTCCTTACTGTAGAGTTAATCTTATGTGTAGAAAGTTAATTGCAAATAGCGCTTAGTAAAAAATAATGGGAATAGGAGAGGGAGGAGGAAGATGGGTGGGAGTGCAGATGGGAGAGTGGGTATGTTGGGAACGATTACTATGTTCCTAAAGTTGTATGTATGAAATGTATCGTTTGTATACCTTAAATAAAAGGGTTTCTAGGAAAAAAAGTTGCTCCCTACTGCTGCTCTTCTGATCACACTCCTTCTGCTCTGCTTGTTTTTCTCCCCGTGACTTATATAGTGTTTTCATTTCTTATCTGTATTCTACTTAGCATATATATGACCCCTGAACTTCAACCATCTGCAACTATATCCCACACATAACAGGCATTCAATCGGTCAATTCCTACTGGATATACAAATACTCTATATACACCTTCTGTTGGGCCAAATTTGCAATATGTTTTTCTTATTTGGCCTCACTCAGATAAAAAGTATGGAAAAGATAACAATATTTTACATATTTTCAATTAATTAGAAAAGTTTTACTTCAATAAGCCTTATATTTTGAATAATAGCCCCGGTCTTGTCTTATTTTATCTGAAAATTAACAGAGAACAAAAATAGAGCATGAATAATTACCTGACATTATTGTACGTTTGAAATCATTTTGGATTATAACTTTCAGAAGCTTTCTAGTTTTTCTGGAATATACTAACTTAACAGTCACTACGTATTAATGAAAAAACCAGCACATTTGCATCTACCAATAAAAATAGTTAACTCAGCCATTGTCATCTAAGAATAATTATTTTACAGTTATCCATGGTTTGTTTCTGTTGAGAATTAAAAAATGAGAATGTTACTAGAGAAAAGCAACATTAAGTCTAAACTGTAAGAATTCATAATTAGACGTCACAGGATTTTTTTAATTTAAAGAACGTAGTATTTTACTGAGATCTTGGTTTCTACATAACCATACCTAGCGCATTATCCACTGGACATGGACACACATTTAAGGGAAAAAAAAGAAAGCTTCTGTTTCTTTATTTTGTGTGTGTGTGTGTGTGTATGTGTGTAACTAAAATTGTGTCAGTGCCAGAATGTGTCCTCCTACACAAGCACCCGAATTCTTAGGGAAGATAAAACCTAAGAAGTAAACTGTGCTTCAGATATTGACATAGGCAACTTAAGCACCTGTTCATCCTCAAGGAGGTAAAAATAATAGTCAAGTTCATCCACTCCCTTATTCAGTGAAAACCTTAGTATTCATGATGGCTGTATGTGTCTAAATCCAAAACCAAATTCTTTCCCCTGGAATATTCTTTTTGACTATGTTAGTGATCTTGTGATAGAATCAAAATTTTTGATAGCACCGGGTGGACAGGTAACCGAATCTGAGGAATCATGGGAAAAATGCATGGTTAGATTTCACAGTATTTGCTCCTGAGAACATAATCACACCATGAAGCCTTGTCTCAGGCTAGTCTTTGTATGTTACTCTGGTGGGTAAATGAATTGAAAGATTCAGATACAATAGCAACTGTAGATGAACTTTTCAATTGGCTGACCATATCACACCGTAGAGCAGTGTTAGTGCATAGCTTTACTTCTCATTCTCTGTTGCCTTCCCAAAAAAAGGTCTTGACAGATAATTGTAGGAGATGGGTATGAAGGAGGAGCCAAGTGTGCTATTTAGGGCCCAGTGGAATGGCAACATTTAAGTTCTGCAGTGAGGAAAGGGAGATAATTAAAGAGGCAGAACAAATGCATCCAGGAAACTGGAAGGCAAACCTTAAAAGCACACAGGAATGCTGTCATGGAAACCAAGGAAAATGGGTGCATCAAGAAGAAAGGTGTGGTCAAGATATCAAATGCCACAGAAGCCCTTGGATCAAATACTCTTTAGGCAGCTGTCTCAGCTGCCATTTCATCTGTACAAGTTGATATTGAGACAATGGTATCATTTGGGAGCATTCTGAAAATGTACCGGGACTTGAAACCTCTGTATTTCTCTATAGGTCAAGAGACTATGCAGACCAACTTGACAGATATTAGGCCAGTAATACTAAGGAAGCCTAGAAAACATGAACATTTCTGTGATCTACAACTAATATATACATAGCTTTTGATATAGTTTTTGATGTAATGGAGATATTTTAGAAGTGGAGTTGAACTATGACTCACATACATAAATATATACACACACATATATATGTATACATGTTTCTCTTTAATTTTATGGGAACCAGAATTTTAAAACTTTGCAAAAAACATTTTGAAGGGACCCTTAAATAGAGACAATTTTGTGGGTTTTATTGTGATGAGAATTACACATCAATCTGCATCTTTTTTTAGATGATGTTGAAATCGATCAGGCTGATTCTCCCTAAAGATACTCGTTAAGTCCTGATAAGTTTTATTTTTATAATCAATACATTTGAATACGACAAGTGCATAATGTATGGACATGTCCTCTTCACTGTAGTGGTCCTATCTAGCTGAGCTCATAGGTCTTAACTGTTTGACCAACCTCAGGTTCTTTGGTTCACTTGCAAGTAGAAACTGACATGAGGTCAATGTGAAATCCAGATTAGGTTTACTGGGGCTTACACTCAAAGCACAAGAGAGATGGCGGTGATGAAAGTCTGTCAGCTTGCTCCCCAGTGGGGGCTCAACAGTTGTTTGTGTGGGTTTGGGGTGTTATGGTGCTTTCGCCTTGTCATGTGGCACTTAGATCTGCACCTGTCTGCAGTTCTAGCTTGTATCCCTGCACATAACACTTTGGTGTGCACCTGACTCAACGTTCTACATGGCTTCTGTTTACTTTGCACACAGCAGTCTCAGAATGGTGGTGCTGCTCAGTACTGCCATCCCTGAGGGTTGCTTATGTGTCACGTCGGACTATTCAAGGCATGTATTCAGGTTGGAAAAGTCCCTAACAACACAGTTGGGGATCTTTTGCACTTAGGGTCTAAACCCTCCTTTCTCCAAATTGGTTTAGAGCTGGAGCTGGATATGCAGGTTGAGAGGGTCTTGATTGACAAAATCTTGTTTCTATCCTCTCTCATTTTTAACAAAACGTAGTAATTCAAAAGGTGCTTTAAAGAATGGTAATGAACACAGGTCAGGTGCTATTCGATTCCAAAGTAAAATAAATAATGTTTTAAATCCACATTCCATTTTTCCCCACAACCCAAAATGTGTAGCCTTCCTTAAACAGCAAAGGAAACATTGAACTTCAAAAAGTAAGACTTCTCTATTTGGTTGAAACCTTAATATTCTGTAAAGTTGACATGTGTTTCTGATTTCCAAGGCAATCTAACTTAATTTTGAACTGATTCATAGTTTCTTAATGTTAAGCAACAGTCTAGTTAACTGGATTCTGGAAAAAAAATCAAACCAGCATTTTCTTAACTTTATTCATAGGATTTGTGTAAAAGGGAGATTAGCTGTTATTTTTGTTAATTAGATGCAAAAATGAGGGAGAATCTGACCTATGCATCTATGGTAGACATCAACAGAGAATCAGTGAGGAGCCTGCCACCAGCATCCCATCTAAAACAGAGCCCACGAGGCAGGAGTTTGGCACAGTGGTAAGCTACCATGTGGGCATCCCATGTTGGAGTGCCTTGTGTCTTGGCTACTCCACTTCTCATTTTAGCCTCCTAATGCAGACCCTGGAGAGCAGCAAGTGATGATTCAAGCAGTTGGGCCCTGCCATCTATGTGGGAGACGGAGATTGAGTTGTTGGCATTTGAGGAATGTCTGTCTCTGCCTTTACATAAAAGTTAAAAATAATCTTCCAATGCCGCTCCTTAAAATGCTGTTTCCTAGGTGTTCACTGAGTCTTACTCTTCATGATACTTAACACTATCTGAAGATATATGCTTATTTGTCTATTTGTGAGTTGTGCTGTTTATGAGTTGTGTGTTTATTGTAAACTTCATGAAGGCAAGATATCTGGGCTGCCACTGTTGTGTCCCACTGCCTGATGTACCTAACACATATGAGAGAACGTCAAAAAGTTCACGGAAAATGCAATTAAAAGGTAAGTTTATTTTGGTGCCAAAAAATTTGGAATCTATATATTTGGTAGACATTCAAAAAAGTTCATAGAAAAATACCTATGATGGAGAAGTTATGCCTGTATTTCAATCATTTTGCAGCCAAATAAGTTCATCTTTTTATAAGATTTGATAGGCAGAGTTAGAGCTATCTTCCATCCATTGATTCACTCCTCCAATGGCCACCATGTCAGGAGCTGGGCTGATCCAAAGTCAGGAGCCAGGAGGTTCTTCTGGGTCTCCCACGTGGGTACAGGTGCCCAAGCACTTGGATCATTTTCCACTGCTTTCCCAGGTGCATTAGCAGGGGAAGCTGGATCAGAAGCAGAGTGGTCAGGACACAAACCAGTATGCTACAGTTTAAAAAAAAATGGAATAGTGCGATTGAAAGTTTTAAAAGATTTTGAGAGGTAGAGTTACAGACAGGGAGAGACAGAAAGGTCTTCCTTCCATTGGTTCACTCCCCAAATGACCACAACGGCTGGAGCTGCGCTGATCCGAAGCCGGGAGCCAGGTGCTTCCTCCTGGTCTCCCATGCAGGTGCAGGGACCCAAGCACTTGGCCATCTTCTACTGCCTTCCTGGGCCACAGCAGAGAGCTGGACTGGAAGAGGAGCAGCCGGGACAGAACCCAGTGCCCATATGGGATGCCGACGCCACAGACAGAGGATTAACCAAGTGAGCCACAGCGCCGGCCCTGCACTATTCTTGTATTAAGTACTCAATAAGTCTTTTTAAGTAAACAGATGAAGAAATGTGTACTCTTTCCACTTTTAATCATGTTAGGCAGAGCAATCATTTATCTAGCTTTTATATTAATTTCTTAGTGCTCTCACTGATACTTTTTAATGCCACAAAGCAAAGGGTACTCAAGTGCACACATAGTGATGGTCCCTGCTCTCTTCTGACAGATTACTCACATCAGAGGCAGGCTGATTTTCCAGCTCATGGATACTCCAAGTCAAGCTGGTTAATTAAGACCATGGGCAGGAGCAGGATTCAAACTTTTCAAAGCTTCATTAAATTTCATTCTATTAGAAAGTTAGAGGGTCATAGACATACGGCTAGAAATCTTCCATCTGCTGATTTACTACCCAAATGTTTGCAATAGCCAGGGCTGGACCAGACCAAAGCCAAGACCCAGGAACTCAATCAGGGTCTCCTATATGGATAGCTTGCACTGGAGTTCTTGAGCCATCGTCTGCTGCCC